GATAAATAAAAAAGTTTCCCATTTGATGCGGACTTTATCGGTGACACTGTATATGTGAACTATGATTTCACTTAGAGTATCAATCCATTTGCCATCTACTAGCTACGAAAGTGGGCTCTCGAACTTTTCGTCACTTATATTGAAAAAAGTTAAATTTTAAATAAAAAAAATCAAATTAATCTGAATATTTAGGGCTAACTATCGATCGACATATGGAGTGGAACATCTATGTAAAAAAGTAACACAAATCCTTTGTAGCCCATTTCATAAGTTGAGATTTTTGGGTACGTTTTTATGTTTCGAACATATGAAAATGATGTATTATCCATTCGTTAAATCTAGGATCATGTACGGAATAGAGGGTTGAGGGGAGTTTAAAATCATCACTTGAGACCTCTAAAAGTGAAGCTGAAAAAATTTCTATGAATGATGCTGAAAATAAATGCTACTTATTGTTCTGATGACCTTCAGTTACCTTCCAGTCATAGACACTTCTCAGTATAAGTCGAAACACCTGTTACAACTTATCGATCATCATCATGATACAAGAATATTACTGTAGTTATTTCCCAACTCTAAACCGTTATTTTAATACCTCGGCTCGTGCTTCGATCAACAAGTGATCATCTTCTAAAGGAAGATCAAACTGTTTCAAAATAATACAAGAAACAAAGCTGATATGCAGTTCAGAACAACAATAGCCAAAAAATCACAAGAACAAGAGAATCTCTTCAAATTATTCGAAAGTAATGTATTAAGTTGGTAGGAGAACAGGACGAAAAAAAATGCAGAATTAGGTGATAGTGAAGGGGGTGTATTGAATGCATATAGGATAATAAATGTGAATGGAAATAGGTATATATGTTTGTATTCAGATGTAGGTTATATTTGATGTGTACGTTTGTATATATTTGCTTGATACGGATAAGTGGATAAACATTTCTATTCGAGACAATGATGTTATTAGATTCTGAAAATTCCAGAAAATAATTCTCTTATACAGTAGTTTTTGTGGGATTGTTATGTTATTCATATATTCATCATTCTGGGCAAATAAACATTTTTATTCTCATTATTATGGGGTGTTTCTTCCCCGCTTTTGGGAACTTTTTCACGAGATGGAGCTGTTACTAGTTGATAAATATTTCTCTCATACATACAGTCGAGCCGCGAGCTGCTTAGTTTGGATCTTTCCTGAACTGATGAGAAGTAATACTCCGAAACCGGTCTCTCGGTGATCTACTCGATTGGTTTCACCGTAGTTCTGCTGCTGAATGAACGAAAAGCATATGCATGACTATCATCTGTGAAATATCTTTCGTAAATGTTTGTCGGATATAATGCAATGTCTAGCGTAATATTATCCGGGAGCATAGGGAAGCATTTACAAGAACCTACTTCGTAGGTTTATAGAGAGAAATGACTCTTTTGAAATTTTCCAAAGAAATATTTATTCCTTCATCTGAATCCACCAGATTTATTCCACCATCAACAGAAAGAATTATAACAAAAAAAATCCTGGTCAAAGGCAGATTCGAACTCATAACAGCTGTGTCGAAGAACGAGAAGAGTACTACTTTGCCAATTCAATTATTATATTGGATTTCCTCTCGAATGTTCAAACACGTGATAACCTGAGAGAATCAAGTCATTTCTCGAGTTCCATCCTGTTTATAGAGATGAATGAAATACGATACGTTTCAAAAAAGTAACTTTTTATTATAAGAGATTCAATATTTCAGTAGAAATGGACAGATCATGATGACGGGTCAGGTGAAATAGAAAGCTTCCAAGGAGAGAGGTGACGAAAATTTAATTCATAGAGAGATTGTCAATATTATTGTTGAAGCATTTGGAACGTCTTCAATTTATTCAATACTCATTTATATTTCTTAACAAAATGTATTTCTGAGACATAGTGTATTTTTGAAGTACTTGATTTTGAAATAATGCAGGAGATAACTTTGTTGTAAATTACGAGAGAATTTCACATAAACAAATGCTTTCACAATAAGTTACCGCCAAAAATTCATTTTGTACACGAATTATATTTTTTGATATACCAGGTGACCCGGAGCCAATTTACCCCCTATATCTTCGTTGTTATTTTATATGGATGTTTCAAATTCGGTACTTAGATTTGATGTTATGAATTTACAAATATGACACTTCCGGTTTAACCGGAAGCGCATCCAATTTTTATATTTCAAATGGAAAGTATGTAATTTTTTTTTGGAAAATTACGATTTGATATAGAATTGCCTTTCCAATGATATGTCACAATCATACTTTCAATTCACAATCTGCCGATATAACTGAAATTTTATTCAAAATCACTTTTTGTATTCCCCTCGTAACGAAACATTTTCATGAAAGAACTATATTGTTTAATTCATAACCGAACTTTTCACACAATGAGTGTTATGCAGACTAACTATTTTTTAAATTTTAGTTTTTCTCCATTTTTCACCATCAATACACTCATTTCTTTTAAAAGCTAACATAGTTGGTTTAAAACTCAAATACATATTGAAATACAAGACATGAAATAAACGTCCATATTTTTGCTTCCTATTTATTTTTTATGAAGATAATTTCTATGCTATACCTACATTTGTATTGAACATTTTAACTTCATCTCAATTGGCTATGATATTGAATTTCTTCTATAGGTCTGGTATTATTTTTGAAACTGCAAAATCGAACGCAACAAAATTTTTATTTCGATAATTTTTACTACAAAATAGCAGACATTTGGAGCATGTATAGTTTTCCAACTCAATTCAAAAGAAATTGAACACCTATGACAGACTCAATTAATCTAATCGCTCATAATGTCGCCCGTTACCGTCAATTCATTTTTCATTCATTCGGAGCATGCCCGCATAACATTCAATAGTTGAGCCGGAATAATTTCGTTGATGGCTCTCCTTACCCTGTCTTCAAGTTCCTCGCGATTTTGAGGTATTCTGTGTGCAAAATCTTTATTCTTCGAGTGAGCTCAAACAAAAAAATCCATTGGGGTGAGGTCTGATTACCTTGGTGGCCAAAGAACTGGACCATGAGTACCAATCCAATTGTCGTTGAAGGTTCTAGTAAGATACCCTCGGACTACTTTCAAATTATGTGGAGGTGCTCCATCTTGTTGGAAATACATAACACAACATGTCGCAGAGGAAATGTTTTCAATAAAATTTTGGATTTCATCATTTAAAATTTGTAGGTANTAAAATTGAAGGATTTCATGAAATCTATTATATGCTTCATTAGGACATGTTTCCTTGTAAACATTCTGCCAGTTCTTGTTTCCCAGTAGTATTTTGAAATCTGCGATATTTTTCTCTGAGAAACTTAATAAGAACTTGGAACATTGGAGTTATTGGTGGTATTTTTTGTGAGGAATTCAATTATTAGTCCATAGTGATCTGATAAATGGAAATCCTTGATATATACCTCGTAATCTGCCATTTTGGTTATGAGAAAATTATCAATGCACGTGCTCGAGAAGGCTGTCATTCGGGTTGGTTCATATATTGTATACATTATGTTCTACGTGCTTATTACATCATCTAGCTGGTTCCTATTTGAGCTACTTTTCAAAAAATTAATATTAAAATCCCCTCCTATAATAACTTTCTCATCGTCCCTACAAATTAGTGTCGATCATCCTTCAAGTAAGTCTGAGAACAACTGGAAATCTCTCATTGGTGGTCTATACATACAGATAAACGTAGTTTTATTTTGTTGTCATGTGATGCCGCAGCATTCAAGAACACCCTCGAGACCTGTGAACACCTATGACAGACCCAATTAATCTAATTGTTCAAAATGTCGCCCGTTAACGTGAAAGCATTTTTGTATTTTTTCGGAGCATGCCGAAGTTATTTCGTTGATGGCGTCCTTACTCTGTCTTCAAGTTCCTCGCGATTTTGAGGTCTTCTATTAGCATGAACTTCATTCTTCAAGTGAATCCAAACAAAAAAATCATTGGCGTGAGGTCTGGTGACCTTGGTGATCAACGAACTGGACCATGAGTTCCAATCCAATTCTCGTTGAAGGTTCTAGTAAAATGCCCTCGGACTACGTTCGAATTATGTGAAGG